ATTCCAAATTGTTCATGTTGTTTCAATCAACAAAACATTCATGGTACCACACTTGGGATTAGATGGGAACGTCTATGGGCAAGCGGCCGGCACACACTGGCACAGTGGCAGGCACTGGTTTCATTGATCAATTGATAGGGGCCAATTCCATGTCTAATTGGACTGGAGAGGCAAAAGTAATGCCACTTTCATTTGCGTGTGTAGAGCATCGGAGATGTTTTTCTGGGTTGACCGCTGACCGCTCCTGACCGCTCCTGCACGGAAGTGGTGGGCACTTAACCGGGACACTGAAGAGTCGCTCCCCCACACCGTTGCTGGTGAAGAAACAGCTTCGCTGCCTTCAGCACCAGAGTTCCAGACGTCACGGAGTGTAAACCGATTGGAACAAGAAGGGTCACACAGGTTCTTTTGGGGGTTAGATGTGTTTGGGCCCGCATGCGCTGAGCTGTAGTTCGGCAGAATCATAGGGCATGATTCGGTGTAAATGAACGCTTCACGAAACAGCCGAGAACTTACAACATCTTACAACTCCTGTCTCATGTGCGAAAGCATTTGCTGCCAGTATTCTTGACACTCTGTGATGATCGAATCAAGGCGTCTACAGGCTTCCATGCTCTTCCATGGCCTTACCGTCGGCCCCAAAAGGCCTCAAAAAAACCGGAAAGGGATTCACATGGAAAAGCTATGCTGCTGCCAACGGCAGCACCAGGAAGAATTGGAGCTCCAACGCTTTCCTCCAATGTTGCCCAAATATCTCAAAACATGTTGGATGCATCATCTTCCACCTACCTCTTGGTCATGCTCTTTGTGATGTTTTGTGTGATTTGGTCAGTAACTTGGAATAGTGGGTGGAATTTTCTGAACATGCCAGTTTCTCGCAGCGACTGATTTTCTGGAATTCTCTGGATTCCAAGTGGTCACTCGGTCACCCTACTTCTTCAACCCTTCTTCCACCAGTGCCATCCCGGTGTCGACAGCACCGGGCAAGCCACTGGCACCGGACTTACACAATGACTCATTAACATGGGAGTGGAAAACGGGCCCCTGAAACATCCTGAAACATGCTTTCCACTTCCATGTTAGTGAGTCAAAGTGTTTCTCTCAGTTAAGTTCGCATGATTGAATCGATGGGAGACCTCAACAGGAGCAGCAGTTCCTGTTGGGGCCTTGTTGGCAAACTTCAGCGGCATTATCGGCATCTCTTTTTGGAGGAAGGTGCCTTCAAATCCTTGCTTGCTTCTCTTTGTTGTGGATGGGATGCACCCGAAAATAGGAGAACCGGCTAGAACACGAGTTCAGTTCTGCTTCTTTTTGCCATTGCCATGGCTTTTGTCGTTCTTTTGGCGTGTTGTTTGTCGTTCCCATGCCCCCCCGCGTTCACGGGGCTGTCAATTGACGACTTCGTCGGAGCTCCGGCATCTCACAGAACTCGCCTGGGGCCGCGGTGGGTTTCTTCAGATGGGTTGGGCGACCTGGTTTTCACAGTAAAGTGAACCCGCTCCAGGTGTATAAACGGTTTCCAATTTCATAGATGAAAAAACTTGGCACGTGAGCATCATTGCACTTGAAGCTGCTGCGGCACTTGGGCATCTAGGGTCTCTTGTTTTGGCTCTCAGTCTTTCAATCAAGTCCAACTCTTGAAGTGACAAGCTGGCGAGAACCACAACGTGGTCATAACTGATAGCACAACTGCACGAAGGGGAACTTGACTTCCCTGTGTGCTTGGTGTTGGGCCCCAAGTAGCTGGAAGAACCTCATGGCTCAGTCAAAGAAGTCAAATGAAGTCAATCACACATGGCGGTGAGGTCAAGGCTAGTGAAATAAACTGACTTGGCACACAGGTGGATCGATCCGAACCCATCCCCCCAACTGCACCTCTAAAGGAATGGCTGCAGCTGACCCTTGAAATCCAAGAAGGAGACCTTCATGCGGTTCTTCTGCACGTGAGATGGATGAGCAAAGCTGAAGATTCATGACCAGGGTTAGCTAGTCAGCTAGTCCAAAACTAGAAGCTAGTGGGGGCATGCGCTTCTTATATAGTCAGTGTACCTGGCGAAGCACCAGCTGAAGCTCAGGAAGACACTTCCCAGTATCAATCAATGCGAATAGCGCTGGTCCTTTGAGCTCAACTGGGCCACCTTTCCACACTAAGACCTCCCTTTAAAAAACATTAAGGAACCCAATAGCGATGGCCTCCAACCTAGCTAGCGATGGCCTCCAGCCACTCCGGCCTCCAATTTTGAGCCTATGGGAGGGGGCCCCTTTTGGTAAGGTTTCTTCTGTCCGTGGTTCTTGTGAGATGGACGGAACAAATCTCCTCCGGATTGGGCCCCAAAGGCGGAATCAAACCTGTCCACTTCCACAGTTGGGGCCATACCAGTCCGATGGAATGAATTAGATTGCAGTGGTTTCAGAGTAGGTAGCACAATCCCCCGAGGTCGGTGCTTGAAACATGGACCCCCAATCTAAAGGAGACCTTGAGGTCTGTGCCATCTACTCTGAAACCGCTGTACATCATATTGAACAAAGGGGGGATTCCGGGATGCATGCGTGAAAGTCAGCCACAAATCCAGAAATGCGGCTGGCTTCACCTGCAGCTTATGTCGTACCTTGCGCTTGACCGGTTTGTAGAGGAAGGACCCCCCACGTCACAAACACTTCGCTCCGCACCGAGCTGGAGTTGGGCGCGGCAAAGCGACGCCACCTGTGGCGCAGGTAAGGAAACCAATGACAATAGCTAGCGGCTAGCTAGCGGGCTTGAAGTGCCTGATAGCTGAGGAAAGGCAACCACAAAGCAGAAACATCCATTCCAATCACGTTGATTCATGTTGATTTGGGGGTCCACGGTTTAGTTACTCGTAGTACTTCAGAGTGCTTGGACCTAGCCAATGGCATCCAATGACACAACGCCGCAATCAAACCAAACCCGCTTGGGATCTCAGCCGGTTTACTGCGGTTTAGATGTGCCGAAACTGCGTCGGCTCGGCGCCACAATGATTCGAAGGGTCAAGCACGCCCTCCCAGATAACTAGTAACAAGTGCATCGCTTCTAGTAACAAGTGCCTTACTAGTAGTAACAATGTTTGCTATTAGAAACAAGTGCCTCGCTACTAGGAGCAAGTGCCTCGCTACTAGGAGCAAGTGCCTTACTAGTAGTAACAAGAAGCTTCTAGTAACAACATAGAGTACTGGGCTACCCTACTAGCGATGGCCTCCAACCTACTTAGTAGGTGGCCTCCAGCATGTCAGTCAACGGCGCCTCTTCAGGCGTTATGAGCAACCCAAGAAACTCCGAACCTCCGAACCTCCGAACCTATTCGATGCGTTTTTCGGAGCCTTCCTCTGCGGGCCCAGTGAACAAATCAACAGTGAAGTTCCTCAAATCCCCTCAGCACTTGTAGCCCACTTGAAAGGAATTTTGTGCCCGACTTTGCAAAAGAAGGCGTCCGCATCTTTGATCACCGTTTCCTCCTCTTCAGAGTCCTGTTTCTACATAAGTTAGGTAGCCGTGCAGTATGCGACCAAGGGTACGATACGAAAAGCAAGCTCTTGTTACAACAAAAAAAGGCTTATCAATTGACACATGTTCGATCTTTTGATTTGGTGTCTGGCTCGGATTCGCATCCACGTGCACCAGTCGCACGCCCGCGTCTGAAGGGCTCTGCATTGGGTTTCCGGACATGAGGTCCCATTGCTCTCCTCACAGCTTGATCGGAGAAATGGACCTAATGATCGTTCGTTTCGCCCTTCGCTTAGTTAGCGAAGAAGATTGGAACATGTGTGCCGTGTGCGAAGCTTCCAAGTGGGAGCTTCAAAAACAGAGTCTGACAAAAACGTGTTCAACAGCTGTGACCTTACAATCTTCAAACCTGTGCAGAAGGACTTGCGAACACCACGTGCAAAGGACTTGTGGAGTCTCTGTGTAGTGCAAGTAGTTGGGTGTTTGACCTCAGGACCTCTATTTAACTCCTAGATGAATAGCAATGGCCTCCAACCTAATAGCAAGGGCCTGGGGCCTCCAACCTAATAGACAATTCTTAACTCTACCCATCAGTGGCTTTTAGTCTATCTACTCTACATATCTCATCAGTTGACATGTCCATCATGTTGACCCGGAAGCACGCAATCCATTTGCCACAGCTGTCGTTAGTTGTCGTTCCACTGCAAACCTATGAACCGCTGGAGGCTGTCACCCAGTCACTACAGTATCACACGGTCACCCAAAAAAACAGAATTAATCGCAAACCTCTCTCTCTCTCTCACATATATATATATATATATTTATTAAACATATATTATAGTTATATAAATATATTTGTATGTCAATTGCTATTTCTCGCGTCCTGCATGTTGCAAAAGGTGACTGGTCAATTGACCGTGGCACCCCCGCATCACCCACCACCCTCCTGTAGGCGCAGGCAAGCCCTGCGCTGCAAAGGCACGACGGAGGTCCAGCTGGCTGAAACCCAAACCTTGGTTCAGCATGGCTCAGCTTCCGCGTGACTGCTTTCCAGCATAGGCCTGCGGCCCCAAGCATCGTTTTACCCTTTTTGCAATGGGCAGTGTGCTTTCAACATGGTCTAGATGTTCAGGTTGTTGCCCGAAGGATAGCAAATCAGTCGTGGCTTCCTACAATATCTATGGTATTAGCTGCAATCATTAGCTCTTGGGCAACAGGTATGTCTTCTTGGCCCTGCGCTGGGACACAATGAATTCTTGTACAGTACATCAATCCCTGATGAACAGTGCGCGCAGTAAAAGGCACTGACAGCTTTGCGTCTGTGAGAGACCCTCACAGCTGCCTCAAATTGTTGAGATCAAGCAACCTCCCAACTCCACGGGAGAATTGGTACCTCCATCAGAATTGCGATTCCTTCTTACTTACAATGAAGCCTCCAAAGAAAACACACACAACTGATCATTAGGTCTTCCCCTCTTGCCCGGTGAAATTCATCAAAACATCGCAAAAAAACCCTTTCAGCACTGCTTCCCCTCTCGCTTCACATCCACCAGGTCTTTACGCAGGGGCTGTCGCGGCCGCAGGCCAGAGCGGTGAAGACGTCGCACAGGCCACAGATCCTGGCCAGCGTCCACGAGGCGACCCCATGGAGCAAGACGCCATGGATTGCAAGACGCATTCTCTTAAATTTGTATATCTTCGTCCGGCCGAAAAAAAGCTGATTCTCCCCTGCCGCTGGACTCAAACCCAAGCCGTGCACCCACAGAAAACTCCAGCTACAAAAACAATAAGAGACCCAAACTCCAGTAAGGACACCTGCAAAATGGCACGTCTTTTTTTGAAGCACCAGAGTGCACAGAGTCTAATTTTCCGTCTGGGGTATTCTGGGGTTGTCAATTGGCCGCGGCTGGCTGATGCACAACTCTTTTCCCAAGGAAGAAGCCAATTCAATGCTTCATGCCCCCATCTGCGAACAAAGGGCATCGCTACTAGTAACAAAGGGCATCGCTACGAACGGAGCAAGAACGCTACTACTAGCTCCTGGCATTACGACTAGTAACAAGAAGCTACTAGGTACAAACAGGGGTGGGCAAGGACAATCCTTCTTCCGCCGGTTCCGGGCCCATAAGGGGGTCTAGTGGGCTAGTACTAACGGCCTCCACCCTAGTAGCTTCTTATTACTAGTAGCGATGGCCTCCAACCTACTTGCGATGGCCTCCACCTAATAGCGCCCGTGCTACTAGCCAGGGGGCTAGCATTGTTTCAGGTGATTCTTGAGTCTGCGCACCTGTCCACCTAGGGCATCTTTCTTCCACCAACCGCCATAGACAGCCTGTCATCACCACTTTTGCTGCAACTGCCAAGTAGCTCATGCGTCAGGAAGGCTGCCAACTCACGGCGCTCCCTCTCCAACTCGTCCGCTGCCTGACAAAGGTTGCTTCGTGAAGAATGGTGAATTGTGAAAAAGAGTTGGGGTGTGGCAAAGGGCATCGCTACTAGGAGCAAGAAGCTACTAGGGGCTCCTGGCCTTACTACTAGGAGCAAGGACGCTACTAGGACTCCTGGCCTTACTACTAGGAGCAAGGCATTCTGACATCTTGATGCATTGTGGACATCTTCATGACGTGTCTTCAACTGATTCTCAAGCCCCAAAGGGTAATCAAAGAACTTCCTTCAGAAAAGGCGATCCAAAAACTTCACCCCCCGGCATCTGAACTCCGAGAGGTCCTTCTCACAGTCTCGTGAATGATCGATCGTCAATGGGTTCACCACTCAGCCTCCAAAGCACCGCCCAGCAAACGGTACAGGTTGGTCCTCAGCCAGCTCGACCAAACGCCCGGCACCGATGACAGCTGAGAGAGGAACATCAATATATGTTGCTATCTTCTTTTGTGCTCATACATCTCAGTGTGAGACAAATACTCGAATAAAGGACAGAGTCCAGGCATCTCCACACGGCAAGCCATTCTATACTCCGTCAACACTCCTTACATCTCCATACCTTGCTGTGGTTCTTGATCTCAGCAAACGGAGTGATGGATGCTGGACACATGGTTTGGTGATGTTTATGCATGACTAAGCCCGCACTTCCTCAAATCTATAGCACTGCTCCAGCTTCCTCCATTCCGTGGAGCTCATTTTGCTTGGCTCTGCGGGCGAGCGGAACCTCTGCGGGACCACCTTCTCTTGCCAAGCTGCTTCGCAGTAGAAGTCAACGGATAACCTGAACTGCCAAGGAATCAAAGCCGCTGTACTGAGAAGAAAAAAAAGGTCAATCTACACTGGCTCTCCCTGGTTCTGCCCGGCATAGCTGAAAAAACTCAGATGTCAAGCAGATCCAAGCTGCGTGAAATAAAATCAACACACACACACACGAGCACAACTAAATGCGAGCACTGCTTTAATTTGGAAATCTGACTTCCACCAAACTTTCACCTTTCACTCTTGGGATAAAGACTTCGTTGAAGATACTTTTGGCAACGCAAGCATGGTAATGTGGGCTTGCATGAAGGTTGCCATCACCCTTCAAAGGAACGCACAATTCAATTCCTCACAAAGATTCCAATACACCAAACGAACGATCTAAAACATAGAGGCATAGAGTTAGTATGGTTGATGCCGCCCGGCTGCCCCATAAACGACATTCACAACCAAAAGAAACCGCCGACACATGTGATAAATGCAACCTTAGCTGGATGCATCTGTGACTAATACAAACTCTTAACTCTCAACGTCATCCTCACTGGGCAAATCCAATCAACCACCAATTGAACATCTTCAGACCCTGTTCCTTTTCGGTGATTCATTGCCTCTATTTGGCGGACTTTGCCCCCCACAAAGCCCAATCTCGAGCTGATGGGCCTGCCAGAACCTACAACTAATTACAAAGCTTCGCTTCGAAGGCTTGCGTCATCTCATCTCTAACACACCTTTGAGAGAAGCATCAGCTGTTCCTTGCTGTTCCTGAGGATGGGGTGGAATCCGAGTCCCTTCAATAGTGGAAGAATTTTCCCTCAGACCAGCGGCCTCTCAGGACCGGCCGACCGGACTCGACGGGTTTTTGGTGAGCAAGGCGCAAGGCTCGGGGCGGTCGCCCTGCACGTGGTAGCATTTGAAAGGAGTCCTCACCACGGGGATAACTGGGCAGGGGCCCAGAAACATCAACAAGTGCCTTACTAGTAGTAACAATGTTTGCTATTAGACACAAGTGCCTCGCTACTAGGAGCAAGTGCCTTACTAGTAGTAACAATGTTCGCTACTAGGAGCAACACATGTTCCGTTCTTTTGGGGGTGGGCTGTTGGACAAGTGCTGAAGAAGTGTGAATGTAAGAAGGCATTGTTCCTAGTAGCGAACATTGTTACTAGTAGTAAGGCACTTGTTACTACTAGCAATGCACTTGTTCCTAGTAGCTTTATTGTTACTACTAGTAAGGCACTTGTTCCTAGTAGCGTGGCACTTGTTTCTACTAGCGAACCTTGTGATGTGGAGGATTCTGCACAAATTTGTGAAAATCACAGAAATGACTCAAGGCACAAGGGAATTGCACAACAGTAAAGTAATAGGTATACTGCACTATCTTTTCTGGTCCCTTCGTGGTTGCTCTGCATCTAAGCTGTATGTGTCTGCTTTGCACAAACCCCAGCACTGTCTCTCCATTGCATAGAACTGCCTCCGACTTTCCCACTGCACAGTCCCTGTACAGCAACGCACCACTGCACCATAACGGCACTATTCCAACAGTTTATGTCCGTCGAACCTCCTCTGTACTGCCCCTCTCTTCCTTGCAAAGTTTTGGCAGCATCTTTAAATTTTCTGAATGTCACTTTCTTCTTCGGCACGTCACTGCACTTTTCTACCTGTGAGAATCCCTCTCCGTCCTTTTGCATGGAGGCCATCGCTACTAGGCTGGAGGCCATCCCTGCCACCCGGCCTGCACACGGGGCAGGTCACCGACGGGCATCCTGCAGCGTCCGCGGAGCGTTGCACGCGGCAACCGCAGCCGGGACACGGCTCCGAGGAGCGTAGCCTTGGGAGGCGAAAGGCGCCGTCGAGTTGTTGGTTGCAGCTTTCGGCTGTGCCATGCTGTGCCATGCAGTAAGGTCGGTTGAGGATGAAGACAGGATCAAGTGAAAGAGGGAAAACATGGTAAAACTCTTCAATTTAGTAGGCCCCGCTCGGACTTTGCCTCGGCAGATTTCGCTGCAAAGGTCTTTCGATGTCGTTGCAAGATGCTCTGCTGAAGGCCGCGATTCAGGCTTGCAAGCATTCGGTTTTCACACTCGGTTCTTTTTTTTGTCGCAAGTTGTTCTAGTTGGTTGTGGTCCTTGCTTCTCATGTCCCAACTTGCCTCTTTTCATGCCACTTGCTCAGAGTTACATCATCTGAGCGATCTTGGTTCACAATGGATGAGGTTGGGTGGGTTGACTTGGAATCTTTCCAGGAGGCCTGGTCCAAGTTGATCTTCCTCTCAGAAGGCTGTTGAGCTTTAGACTCAGACTCACTCAACTGTATATATATATATGTATTATATTGTATTGTTTATTTATAGTTACTTATGAGCCACTGGCATTGGATGCATACTCTACAATCATCCAAGCCAACAGGAATATATGTGCGGCAATATTGGCACCAACAGGTTACAGTATACGTTCAAAATCTTTCAAACTTGTAAACATGAACTTATCAAACAATTGTTTCTACCAGCGAGGTTGCTGTGGGTTTCCCAAGTGACTGACACGCAAAATTAACATCGCCTAGCTCGTCCAACCAACTCCTGGATCCAAGTAGTGTTGTCTGGGCCATCGCCATTATTTTTTGGTTGTGGACCTTGGCATCAATAACCACACGCATCAATGAATGAATCTGATGATTTTGGGATGCCGTGAGGCCTTCGCCCAAGACTCAGTTCACCATAAATGGGTTTGGACGATTAGTCTCTTCCCCTATAGTGTAGGTATGATAATCTGCCCTTACTTTGCGGGGATTGATTTTAAGTTGATGTGACTGTAATTATATGGTTGGAGGACTGGTTGGAGGTTGATGGCTCCCGTCGACACGAACCCTTTCCACTTCCCCCCGCTGCTGGTCGGTGAGGCGCAAATACAACACGGACTTTGCTTCGTTGTCACTGTTGGCATCCATGGAAGCCTGACATGCATTGAATCCAAAGATCTCATTCAGCAAGGGGTTCTCACTCAGCCTAATGAGGGAGATGGTGGGAGTGATCGGAGTAACCAACATGAAAGCCTTTCAGAATCGGGGCACCCTAGCGAACCATTTCCATAAGCACCTGAAGCCATTTCCATAAGTTAATCCACCTGCAAACACCGTAAATTCACCTCCCATCTCACATTCTCTGACCTTCCTCGCTCGCAACCACGCCCGCAGCTTCCACTTGAAAAACAACCCGCCTGGCATGCCTCGCTGGTCAAAGGCAGCGTGAGCACGGCCATATCACGGAAGTCCAAAGAGTCGGGCAACATGAAGGAGCCTCACAATCCATGTCCCAATCCATTCAACCCATTCAATTGGATTGAGAGAATGGGTTTGGAAGTCCAAAAAGTCCTCGCAATCCATTTCCATCCATGTCCCAATCCATTCAACTCGTGGCAGCTTTCAGTCGGGAGTTCCTGGCTATCTCGATGACTTGTCGAGAGTCGAAATGCCCGGTCCATCGGCTGGTCCGGAAGGGCTTAAGGTCTAGAGTCTAGAGCCCCCCGAGAGTGGGAGTAAGAGATGGCCCAAAACCTGTCAAGACCTCAAGACCAGCAGACATTATGACATGCAACGACCACCTCTTCTGAAGCTTCTCCCTCCAGCAAATGCCCGCCTACCCACTAGGAATGATGTCGTCCTTTGCAGGCTCCGTCTTACAACCAGCTTCGATGCCTTTCCAGTACCCACCGCCCCCAGCGCCGCACGGCACGTCCAGGAACTCGACGTGATCGACGACCGGAGTTCAACGCCTTTGAGGGAATGTTGGGTGAAGATCTTGCGGCGCATGTGGATCTCGTTCACCATGGTGGTGAAGCTGGCATACTTCACTGTCACTCCAAAGCCTGGAGAATGCACAAACGAAAAAGAACAGAACAAACAAACATGAAACCAACATGAAAGGTGAAGGATGAACATTTGAACGTCTGATCTCTGTACGTCCCGCCTGTTTTTAAAGACACTCTCGGCTTAGTAAACATGTCCAAGAACCCCGTGTTGGAGAAAAGAAGTCTGTGGTTTACTTCATAGGCCCTAGGCTTCAAACCCATATCTCCAAGCACCTCTAACTAAGCTTTCAAGCAAGATGCCAAACATGAAGCGCCGCACGTCGCTCAGATTCACATAGCCCGCGCGCATGGTGTCCTGTTGTCCCCACAAGGTTGGCACATGGACTGAGAGGTCCTTTACGTGGGTAATCAGGACTGCTACCGGCAAGCCAGCATGGCAATCCAAATGAACAAATGCAGGATGTCTTTCACAACGCTTAGGCATTTAAGATATTTTAGGATCATTAGATATCATTATATATACATATATATATATGTATATTTGGAAAAACAATATGAAAAAAAAGAGCCGCGCGGTCTCTCGATCGGGACGGTGTCGGTCCAGCTCCGTGACGATCTCCTCGACGGTGCAACAGGTGGGCAGCAGTGACTTCAGATCTTCAACCTCCCATCGCCACGCGGAAACAGGCGAAGGCCGTTTCCGGGCAAGCGGCGAAGGCGAAGGCACGAAGGCGGGCGTCTGGGCCAACACATTTTGCCAAGCCACAGGCGGGCTAGGTGCTGGCCCTTGGGGAATCTGGAAGCTTGTGCCCACCCGTTTCTTGAGCTTTTGAGGGGTCATGGGAAATCTGGGTAGCCATTCTCAAGCAACGATTCTGTCAAAGAAACTTAATACATGGATCATGGATTGAAAACAATAGAGGCAAATTACTAATTGCCTGGAGCACCCTTTGAATAACGATTATGAGGCACAATACAATTTATTACAAACATGAGCTTCACTGTATATCTAAACTTAAACCATTCAACATCATTCAACTACATAATTCCATATCCAACATGGTCATGTAATTAACCCCAATGGTGATGCATTGGAATGGTCATTCCAGTCAACATGACGGATGTTCAATTGAGAAGGTGGCGATTTGTACAATGACTGCACGCAGTCAGAATCACTCAAGGATCCGATGCTGGATGCTGTTCGTCCGCACCATTGGCGCTGGCATGACTTGAAAAAACACTGGAGATGCCTGCCCCAAATGGTCAATTTACGTGTCGCACATCTTGGATGTGGATCTGTACAGCGACCCCAGGCTTTTGCTAGCCTTTCCTACTACCTGCTTCAAGACATGTCCAAAGAATGTTCCACCAATCATTGTCAAAAAAATGTGATCGGCTGTCGCATGCTGTCGCCCCCCAAAATATCCTTTGGGTACTGGATGCTTGAATGGTTTGAACAACAACATTGTCTTCCTCCATGAGCATCTTTATACATCTTAAGTCACGGAAAAATCCCTTTGACATCTTTTGACCCTCCAACCCGTGTCAACACTGAAAAAACATGTGACCCATCCATGCGGCACCTGGCTGTCCAGCTTGGCGATGCGCGACATCACCAGCAAGGTCCTCGCTTGAGGGATTTGAGGTCTTGTTGTTCCTGGGGCCAAATGGAACAACCTGTACCAATGAGGTCCAGTGCCGGCGGGGCATCTGTTTGAACAGTGCTAACCCGGATTTTGAAAATTCCCCTGGGACAAATGATGAGGGAGACTCACATCGTTGCGTAGTCTTGGATGGTTTGGGGGGGTTCATGTCACTACCACTATATAGTCTATATTATACTCATTGGCACTGTAATTCCTCCGAGCAAGAAAATCAGTTGCCCGAGCAAAGCACAAGAAGCCCCACCAAAATGCCATTGAGATGACCCAAGATATCCCAGCAACTGATCGAGTTGAACACCCCATGTTCATTTTTCTCGACTGCATCCCGGAGGCTGCTCCAAAGCTCGTTGTTCCTCAGAACGACTCCGCCCGGACTCGGTCGTGCCACGTCCGAAAGGCTTTGGCTACGGAGAAATCGCAGCGCAGCCTCCGCCGACCAAATGGCGCGATCATGCTAAATCTCCAAATCCACGCAAGAGCCCGCCTAAAGGGCTGATTCAGCACGCCTTGTTTTTTGTCGAAGAGCCTGATCTCAACCCTTTTTTTGTTCCAAATGCGTGGAAGCCCCAAGCAAAGCCAAAGGGAACAAGACTTATCCGGGGGCCTTTGCCAATTGGTAAACTAAAGCTTTCCCAGCTCACCTTCAAGATCTTTATCGAAAATGATCTTCAAACCAACATGCCTTGAGTTTGCTTTGACACCATGATAGTTATACATTGGGTCCTGGGTCTATCATGGTCTATCCTATTACCATGATGGCTACTAGTCTTGTTCAAAATTGTGATAATTGTTTACTGACTGTCACAGGCAATAGGACAAACCCTAGTTATAAGGCAAATAGGGGAGCGATTTGCCGGTATACACTTATACATATGTGTCCTAATCCCAAAGGTAGTCTCAGAGTACAGATTGCAGAAATTTCAAAAAACCGCAGTATCCAGTGGATGGGATGGTGCCATCTGCCCTGGGTGCCTCGCCAAATTCTTGAAACCCAAGGGGCGCGAAGGTCCAGGAAGTGTTTCGGCTTGGGCGACAAGGCGCGGCTGGGGCTGCCCAGGATTGGTGAGCCGCTGGGTGAGAAGGAGGTAGAAAGGCCTACAGGGCTGAACTCCGGGGCGATGGACGATGGCAGGATGGCCGCATTCGAAGCGCAAAGACGCTCATTGACATAGAAGCCCGCAGGCCAGATCAAAAAGCACATGACTATAATACAAAGGCTTTGAAACCACCCAACCACCCCAACCACCCCCCAACCACCCCAACGAAGGCGGGGCAATTCATCCTTCTGTGCCAAGTACGACGAAGCAGTCGATGAAGTTGGACATTGGACATGGCTCTGCGAATGCCGGCGCTGTACAGGTGTAGTGAGAGCCCCCCCAAAAGGGGCCCTAAAACCACTCCGACCATGTCTGCAGCATTGTTTTGCAGTCATTTGATTTGGTGGCTCCTTCGAATTCTTTGACCTCCCCCCAAAAGAATCACCTAACATCAGCCGTGCATGATATCCACTGCTGCCCGGACTCGACTTCACCGTCGACCGTGAGCGTGACCCGCGCCTCCCTTGTAGCGGTCCAAGCTCGACTCGCGAAGGAAGGAGCCCTGAGCCGAGCGGAACGAGGCCTCGACTCGGAAGCTCGGAAGAGAGATCTGGGAGAGCCATGCGAAAGAACGCCTGCGTGACGCTTGGTGTGACTGGTGAACCAATGTGAACAGGGATCCACATCCTGGCGATGGTGAACGGCACTCTCCAGGGCTATAATGGGCTATATGGCTATATACTACCAATGATTTATCCTGCCAAACCAAACGACTTCCTTTCTATCCTTCATGTTCTAAGCACCCACCATCATCCCCAAGAGAAAACCCCCACGGCAAACCGTGACGGCTGAAGCTCGCTGAAGCCAAGCTGCTCGCAACTCACGACTCTCACGGAGCTCACGACTCTCGCGCAGCTCGCGACTCTCGCGGCTGGGGAGGAAGCTCTCCAGGTCTCGGGAGGAACGCTCCAAGCGCTCCAAGGAGAGTCCAGGGTCCTCGTTCGTGAAGTTTTGCTCAGACTTGAGGTCTTTGAGATCTTTGAGGAGTGCTCAGGGGAGTGCTTAGGGAGGGAGCAAATGGCAATGATCCCTTCAGAAAGGAACATGAAAAAAAACACATACTTCAGGTCCGTTGAACGGTTTCCAGTACTCCAAGAAGCCCTGCAACCCAAGTGGGTAGAACTGATTGATGGCTTTTCCAGTGATCATTAGGACACATTAGGGCATTCATGCTTGAGTTTCAATTCAGTGCTAGTAGGTAGCTCTACCGCTGCAGCTCCTACCTACTGGGCTTTCAATCATCGACTTTCGATCCCTGCGCCCTCCATCACCCTGTGGTCCTGCGTTGAAAGCTCCGACAAGTAGGTTCCACTGCCCCTTGGGGCGTCACAAGTCGCTTAAGAAGTCGCTGAGGCCAGTCTTTCGCTAGGCTTTCTTTGCAAAGAACTAATTTTTTTCTAAGTGGGAGGGCCTGGATGAACCCATAGATGTTTGAGAAGGATCTTTGGGGCGAGACAACGTGTCGGAGAGAAAATACACCGTTGGATTCCAAAATGCTTATACAAAGTATAATATTTTCAGCATGGTTTCAAAAAGAATATTTCAACAACCAATTTCTTCAATAATAATAGGCGTTTGTATTATAATATGTTAAAATCAGTTCTCTAATAGAACTTGAGGCGGGGGGTTGGTGACGAAAGCAAACATCTGATCTGATCACATGGCCTATCAGAACGGATGCGATCAGAGCAATCCGAACGATTATGCTCCCAAATCCGTCCTAGAGGTGAACCCGCGGAAGGGGGGGTTAGCAGTGGATCATTCAGTGGGGTAGCCGATTCCATCCCCAGGCCAATAACTTGCTCAAGTAAGAGTAACTCCAGCTAGCTGAAGCTAGCTTTCATCGTCAGGTGCATGGTCGGTCTGCTTCGGGCAAATGTTCCACTGTGCTCTTAGGCATCTGGTCATGTTTATGGACAGCTTCGTTTTGAGCCACATCCAAGTTCCTCATGGTACCTACCTGATAGATGAGAATGGTCTACCAAGCCCATCTTTGGGCTCATACGTTGGCTTGGGCGAAGCTACAGCAAAACCAAGGCACCATAATAGAGTGTACACATGGTGTGCACGTAGCTCGGCTTTCACTCGAAAGCACCGGAGACCCATTCAGGAATGCAGGGTTGCTGCCCTCACTTGGGGCACTCTCAGGAAAATCAATCCCACATGGGAAACGAATCGACAGGATCGACTCATTAGCCTACCCCCACCGGGACGAATCCTTAATTTCTGGAATGGAATCTTCCCCGGCTAGTGGACAAATCTGCCCCAAACCCTCGAATCAAACTGACATCCTAAACCTGATGCATCCCTAATGCATCCCCACCCAATAGCAATGGCCTCCAACCTAATAGCACCCCGTGATGCATCCCCACCTCAAGGGAGACTTGGGCGATGGAGTGGCCCAGCTCTCATAGAGTCGTTTCCCCTGGTGCCGTTGAGGCCGACGGTCGGGCACCAAGTAGTCGGGCAATGGCGTCCTGGGTGCGGTCGGCCGGGGGTCGGGGGCCAAAGGACTTTGCAGGGAGTACTTGTCTTAGAAGAAGTGCCACCATGTGTGCTAAAGTCACCAAACCACTCTTTAAGCCATGCAGATCCCACATGTTTCTTTTGGCGTGTTCTTCCTTCAAACTGCTCTGCTCTACACGACACTCATAGCTGCCTGCGGGTGGAAAAGGCCACTTCGTGACTTCATGGGGGGAGGCCAAGCATGGGCGCAGTGTGAGGTCCATTGGGCCCAACGTCCCAGTCTCTTGGCCGAAGTACAGTTGACATAAGCCATCAAAAACCATCAAAAAAAGACAAACATCAAAAACATCCAGAACCATCCTGCAAACTTGCAAGTTTGCACCTACCATGTCCACCGACCTGCCCCAGGAATAGCGTGGAGTAGCCCTCCTCCGAAACGCTTTGGCCCGAGTCTCACTGGGCTTGCGGGGCTGCGCACTGGAGAGACGGGCTCGTAGCGCGCAGGGCTGTAGGCGCGTCGAGGACTGCCGTAGGAGAGCCGCATGGGGCTGTCGTAGGAGAGCCGTGGTGGACTGGAAGCCTCGGCTCTCATGACGGGTCACGGAAGGCGGATGGGTCAGGGTGGACTGCGATCTGGTGGAGGATGGACAATCCTGAAAAGAGATAGATGGCTTTTGAGTCAAGGCTTTGAGTCGTCTACATTTCATGCCAGGCCGATAGGCCGATAGGCGTAGTGAGACAAGGATTGCAAGTAGGTCCACTCTTCTTGTCTCTTTCTTCTGAGACCTTGATGCCATGCAGTAGCACACGGGTAATGTAGTCTACTAAAAGCAGAAGTGTTGGGTGATGTTGGGTGTCTCCTCTGTCGGGTTCCAAGTAGTACATGCGATGAAGCATGTTTGAGCGCTGTTTTGCCACTTGCACTCTTGGAATGGATATTTTTCACTTCACCTCCACGAGAGCAAAAACCACGTGACAGGTTCCCCACCAAAGAACAACCAAGGCTCTTTTGGAAAATCCTTTGGATGTGAACAGCGCCATCATTGCTTTCCACCCGATCCCCCCCGATCCGGGCTTTGAGTGGAGCCCCTCAAAAGTGTTCATTCTTCAGGTCACCTTAAGGCCTTTCATGCTCTTGGTCTCTGCCAGTCGCTGCCCCTGCTCTTCACTTTGGTTCTTTTGAAGTGTCTTGAGGTGTTTTGCACACCTGATTCAATGGCTGCATATGGCTGCCATCTTCAATGGTCCTATATGTTCAATCACCCGCATACCCTGATGGAAAAAGCCGTTGCACTATGTGGCGAACATGCAAAGCAACCCGGCCCGATCCATGGATGCAACGATGTTCTTCAGCCGTGAATGGGGTCTGGGGCACCTGAGTGGACCGGGGGAAAAGCCTCCGGGCCCCAGTGAACCGGGCAGCTCTGGGTCCGGTAGGACTGGAGGCACTGGCACGGCGAGGGCTTTGGACGGGGCTGCGCGTGCGCATTTCGAAGCCTCGGCGCGTCTGCGTCAACGCGAGCAAAGGCTTCACGCGAAGCAGCGTTGGAAGGGGTGGAGCTTGCGGGATCCGGTCCGGCCTTGAAATTCCTGTGATATCGGACATTGGTATGGCATGGTGATATACAGTACGTACGTACGTACGTACCTCTCTCTCTCTCTCTGGCGGGCATGACTCGTCCCCGAGTCGTCACAGAGATGCCCAGTACGAGACGACACACGTTCAGCATCCTTCAGTCCTGTCAGAATCCTGTCCAGTCCTTTGGGCTGGAGATCTGTGTGTTCTGCAGCCCGTTCAGCACGTCTAACCCGCTTTAAGCCCTGGCCGAGCTGCTGTCCCGAAGTGGCGTGCGCTCCACCTGGTGCAGACTGGTGAGCGAAATCGAAGTGCTGGCGAGGCCACCCGGGCTGGCCTACTGTGAGCCTGTAGGTCTGCAGGCCGGACTTCTTCTGCCTTTCATCTTTTGACTTGTTCGTTGCTTGTTCTTTGTCTGCCTTAGAAGCCCTTCAAACCGTCACTAATCATAGATGGTGAACACATGTGTTCACACCGAGCACCAGCGCTGACTGATGCGTATCGGTCCGAACGGGCCCACACAAACCCTTCAGCAGACCTGATCCACCCAGGTGTAGGTCGTGGCCGCAGGCAGTGGGATGTCCAGGAGCCGTGCCAAGGCGTCAGCCGGAAAGAAGGCCGCATCCTTGGGATGGCTTGGACCATCGAAACACCCTCATTGGGATGCATGGCTGCGATGTCTGATGTCTGGGAAGTGCTTCAATCAATGGGGTTTGACACCTCGAACGCATGGATACTCTTGAGAGGTACACAAGTGATGTTTCCTGTGCCAACCAAACAATGGATCAACCAACCAAACAATGGATCAAAAAAAATAAAAAATATATATATATATATAAAACAAATCCTCATGTATTCTCCAAATTGTCCCGGCGGCCTTAGTGTTTGGATGCCCGCAAGATAAGTTGGAAGGCATGAGATGTGGCGGAACCGTGGAAGTGTAAGCGCAGTGATCCTGTGTGGTGACATGCTGTCTACACGAGGACGCTTCTACCCATAAGATCATTACCATTCACTACCCATGTACAACGTATGTACTACAGTAGCATGCAGCTACGCTTTTGAAGCAATGCCAAGGATGACATTTATTCTCGAGTAAGGAGGAGTGTCAAGTGAGGCCCCTAATCGCAGTGACTTCCTGTCCAAGCATCACTGGGATTAATCCGCTTCATTAGGGCATCGCAAAGCAAGGGCTCCATGGGCCGCGCGTAGCCCGGCACGCCCCGCATGAGCACATTCCGCACGGCAGAATTGCAAAGCAGGCCGCCCATGCCTTGACCATTGAATGTTTTGATTTATTCAGCACACCCCCAGGGCCAAGGTCTCCGGTGGTGAAGGCTGGTCTTAGCATCTCAGCTCAGTGGTAGAAGAGTTCGTCACATTAATTCAATCTGGCTTACGAGAGGGAGCATGGGGAGCTTCAACAAGGACGACGACGCCAACAGAAATCAGCCATACCAAGGTCTGCGAGTTCTTGCCTGCGCAGAATCCTTCGTCAGCATCCAAGTACTTCATGATCACATTGCCAGAGAGGGCGGCCTCTGCTACGGGGGGTTTGGAGATACTGCACTCGTTCGTCCGTCCACTTGGAAGGGGTGTCCTGACTCAAAGCCTACGGACTGTCTTCTGTTGTCCTGTTTGCAAAGGACAAGTTGGCAAAAGCGCTTGTGGCATTCAATGGTTCTGAACAGTCATGGGCGGACATTTCGACGGATGGATCACACTAGGTTTTAGAACAAGCAACACATCAACCGCACCAGCCGCGTACACATCCTCTTCAGGACTTCTTCCGCGAGTGGAGGTTGTCTTACCGTAAGGGTTGAAGTTGTCTCCAAATCGTCCAACATAATCCATCTACTAAGAAACTCCTCCTTGGAACCTTCCAGGGGATTGATGGTAAGAATTCTGGCTTGAACTTGATTGGATCTACGTAGCAATCCAGACCTTTGCCATCGCAAGCTCGCGCCTGGCGGAGGTGTCGTTGGTGAAAACGCAAGCGGCTCACAAAGTCCAGCTCCAAGAGGAAGACCCTCAGCGCCAAGCGGAGAATCTCTCACTTCTCCGGTCAGTTTTGCCGAAGAATTGGTTTCGGTCCGCCCCCCATCCATCAGGACTGCCATGCCATTGGACTGCCATGCCATTTTGAGACCATCTGAGGATCGCAGGGCCCCGAACACGGAATTTCGGAGCCAAATTGCTTTGACACATGGGTGGATCAGTGGTCAACAGTGAAGTGAGGACCCTGTAAACTGCTTCCAAGATCTTGGTCTTGGAATGTGTTGGACAATCCTGGGCAAAAGGGAGCTGTGGGACTGGGACGACGTTCACGTTTTCGGGTTTTCCTTGTTCGGGGCACTGGCAAAGCCTGTAGGTCACCTCCGGCAAAAGGCCCATCCTCTCCCACTTGCTGCTGCGGGCGAGGGAGAGCTCCTGGAAAAGGACCGCGTCACTTGGAGTCACTGTTCAACGAGGACCAAAGAGGACCAAAGAGGAACATTAAACAGTTCAGCTACAGGACCGGATTGCTGCGTGGATTGTAATCATCCGAAACTGGTCGATCTGTGTAGTTTCCTACAGGGTCCACACCGGCTGCACCGGCCGCAGCGTGCAGCTTTCTTGACGCGCGTTCGCGACCGCGTCGGGTGTGGCGAGCGCGTGTCGAGAGACGCCTTCAGCCAGCCGCTGGAGCGAAAGGTTGGCGTGGTCATTCGCACAAAGTCCTGACATCGTCGCTGTTCTCAGGACGGCTTGGCGTCGCAATGACGATTCGAACGGTGGTAGGCTCAAGAGCCTGCACGGAGGAAGTATCTTTCGCATGAATTTGGAACAGGGAGAAGGTGCAGGTCTTTCGAGGAATCTTCACTTCCTTGCAATTGATGGTGTCTTCCATCAAAGCTCTTTGACTGTTTGGGTCGAAATGGTGGCAAAAAAAATTCGCGGACTACGGACTACATCGGACTACTGACCAAATTGGCGAAGGGGCTGTTGATAGAGCATGTTCTCCACCATGTCGGACATGCTAAGAAGTCACAAAACTCTGCAATAGTGGGAGATTCTCTCTGTGGTTCAGGAAGTCTTCCTTCAACAATTAGCAATAGTTGTGGGATGTTGTGGGTATACTTTAATCTGGAACGACCTAGAAACACCCATGTGCTATACCTGAGTTGGAAGGGGGGTAGTCAAACAGCCATTCAAACATGTCCCCAAACGCGCGATGTTCCCTGCAATTTTTTCTGCGCTCCCACGCTTGAGCGTGGAGCGCACCCGCATCGGCCGAAAGGGCTCCTCAGGAAAGATCTCCATGGTTCCAGTCCTGAGCTTGATGGTGGCCAAGACGTCTTCCAACACATAGCCTGAAGACGGCAAAGGGCATGGCACAAAGATGGACCGCAAATTGCCAAATTAAGTGTCTGCAGATGTCTGCAGTTTGATTGATGGTTCAACTGACCTGCTGTTGCAAACAATCAATCACCAACCAAATCTGAACAGGCTCAAAAATGGCAACCCAGCGCTGGCCCGCACCTGCCACTGGATGTGGTTGTGATGAAAGCCACAAGTGAAGGTCACTGGCGCTGAGCCATCCTGGTCAAGGCAGTGGCAACTGCGTCTTACCTCAGAAAATATGATGCTGTTAAACTTGGACTCATACCTCTTGCACCCCAAAAATGCAGTTGTCTTATTTTGAACACTCGCCGCTTTGTGCGGTGTTTCCATGCACACCGACAAAAGGCATTCAGACTCGACTTCCCCCCCCACCGTCCACTCCCGGTGACACCGCCCGGTGGACCCGGTGGACCGTCCTTTGGAGCTGGGACCCTGGACCGCGCGGAAGGCCGCCATCGGATTGTAGTCGGTGAGTTCGCCTCGCTTCCATTCCGCCGGTGAGTCCGTGCCGGTTCGGTGGCCCTTTTCGGCCACACGTGCGGGTGAGGGAAAAGGGGGAAAAGGGAGGACGGCGAGACGGCGCCGCATGGCGCACTGCAGTGCAGTCGATTTAGGTGGATGTTGCTTGATGTTGTTTCACAGTTTCACGAAAGGTCGTCTATAAGTGTTTGAATTTGCTCCTTTTTTGGCAGTTCGTTTGTTTCCCATTCTGATGTAGCATGCCTTCTTCAGGTTCAGGTAATGCAAAGGAACATGTGTTCCCAGGTGTGCCATAACTGAGTTACTGAAGATGAGCCAGTGTCTCAGCCGTACCAAATCAACCTTTTGGATCTTGAATGGTGGTCCGCCCAAGTCACTGGTGCAACTCAGAAGGAAAACATAAGACCACGATGTACCAATGTGCGGCCCAACGCACATCAAACATCTAGTATACTGGAAGTGTCTATACCCAATTCATCTAGACTCTTGATAAAAGACACACACCACAATTTTCAACGAGCCCTATGACTCTATGACTGAGATGCCGAGTCACAAAGCTTGTACCGGGCATCCTCGGTATCCAGCTCTGCTTCTGCAGCCGCCCGCAGCAGGGTTGCCAGCGCAGCCTGGAAGGGGCCGCAGGCATGCGGTTCTTGCTTTGGGCAGAATGACCACTTTGTAAATACATCTGAATTGGAACACATGTTTTACGTACCTAGGTTTATTGGTGCTTTTTTGGGATGCTTTTGGATGTCTGCTAGCTACTGAGTTTCGCTGAAACATCTCAAAGGCTATTGTGGACCCCCTTCACCTGCACAACTTGAGTGTGTGGCTCTTCAAGCATGATGGATGGTCCGATTTTCCGAAATGTGTGTTGGGTCCCTAATGATCTGGCTGGAGCATTTCCGTATTTGAGTGCTAAAGGAGCTTAGTTCATCCTTGTTGTTCCCAGTTCAAAAATGAGAAGCCAATGGCGAAGTCAGTTCCTTCAAACATGATGCAGGCACCTGGTGAGACTGAGACCCTGCAACAAACACATATCATCAAAAGCCCAAATCATCAGACGAGATTGCTTTCAAACAGCCCCAAATCATCCCAGATCCCCGAATCTCACCTGTGCTCTCTGGGCACCAGAAAATCAAGAAGGCATGAACATGGCCTATCAGGGACAACATGACTTGGTAGCTCCCGGCATCTCTGAAGAACCACACCTTCTGATCCAAGTCAATGAAGCTGTAATCCAAGCTCCTATTGACCGAGAAAGCGGAGGAAGCGTTCCGGAGACTTCGGGCTGGCTACAACCACTTTCATGATCCGTCGGACTCCACGAAGCCTGAAAGACGCTGGTGCCCAAAGGTGTGGACATGCTGATAGAAGCAAAGGCCTCCAACCTACTAGCGTTGGCCTCCAACCTACTAGCAATGGCCTCCAACCTACTAGCGATGCCCCTTTGTGAGCAAATGTGTTTTCCCCGCATGTCTTCTTCCTTCGTTCCAACTTCCCTTGGACTTTGTCGTGGAGCTTTCGGAGGACCTGGTCTTCTTCTCAGTCATGCTCGGGTGCACGCTGCACCACCAACCCAGTAAACATAGTAAACTACAGTGAGGTGGTGGTGGTCAATCCCAGCATGGCCTTGAACACCTCATAGCTAGCGGACCGGTTTGAAGAGCTAGGCTCTTTTCCCATCACACAAACGTTCATGTGTACTGCACATATTTAGTACATAATACAAAGTATAACACAGCAAACCCCATCAACCGCGGTGTCTTCTTTTTGTTTTGCGCCTTCGTAGGTGGTTTGTTCACCCTTTTGTGCGAAGCTGACGGAGCACTGCAGCGGACATGCTGGAAAGCCAGTGTAGTTCGCTGAAATCAGTTGGAACAATCTTCGTGGTGACCCTCATCTTGATCCGCCCATGGGCCTATTTATGGCGTGCACCTGGATGTTCAAAACTCGGTTCTTGAGGCACTGTCCTATTGCATGTCTAGCGCCTAAAATCGGCCCACCCAGCTCCATGACTGCCATGGACCTCGCACCTGTAAAGAAAACACCATAAACCAATTGGGTGTAGAACATGTTTGAATATGTCTTGACTATACAAAGGATAAGCGACCTTGGTGAGGTGGGGGCCCGGGGTCTCCTTTCAAGCGCCATCAGTCCACACTTGCACAAGACACGCAGGAAACACCAAGCGTCCGGGCGAGCTGAGAGCGGCTGCAGGCATGAGCACTGAGAAGGGCTTTCAATGAAAGCCTAAATGGCCTAAGAAGCCTAAAGTCCCAGTGGTTGCTTGTGGTGTTCCACATGTCTGGTGTTCTGTCAATACTGATGTGCGCCAGTGTAGGCCGACGGTGTGCTGTTCTCAGCGCACTACAACATGTGACTTACATGCGCTGCGTGGGAAGAGGGTTCACCCGGTGTGCCCAAAAGCCATCCAAACTGCCTCAAGGTGAGCTGGACCGACAGGACTTCCCGCACTTTTCGGCACGCGACAATGGCACCATTGGGCTGTCCTGGGGGTGAAACCTTTGGTACACATTCCTCAGGGCACCTCCTTCTGCATTCGAAGCGCTTGTAGATAGCTCCAGAGCGTGAAGGCCAAGATGTTTCCTGAGGAGAGGAGGAAGGACAGTGACTGTCAGGAAGACCGACCACCGACCGTAGATCTGAGGCTATACTAGGTCGACCTCATATTGTAGCTGTTCGGTGTGATTTCTTCTTGCTACATCTGGTCTTTCTGAATGTCATCTGTTGTATCACTTCTGCCAAGGCTCCACAAATGCCCAAGATCATCACGGAGCTCCACCGGCCACTGGGAAGGATCTCCAAGCCCAGGCACATGGACCTCAAAAGCCCCTAGGTCGTGGGTACACCAGGTTGGAGGAAGTTGCATTTCTTCAAAAGACCGAAGATGTCAGGCATGGCATGCCCTACAGGCCAGGATTCTTCTTCTTGTTGCTTGTGTTTGGGCGAGAGGTCTGGTTTGCAGGACATTGCTTCATGCTTCTTGTAGCCAGAGCAGCCGACAATATGCATCATTACCCTCCACATCCGTGATCATTTCAGGGAGTGCCATTGCCATGCGATGGCACCTGCCGTGTGTTTTACAACGGCAGTTGATCGTCAAGACGCAAGGAGATCGTTGCCGCCTTGTTGAAGTTCCCAGCGAAGGCGGCGTGGGTCGCCTCTAGCTGAGACGGCCGAGGCAGGCGCAAGGCACGCATGAAGGCACCCGCAAGGCGGCTTCTAAACGCCGCGCAGGAGGAAAAGGATTTCAGTGTGGTTTTGTTGAGTTCGGTGGCTTTGGGCTAAATCTCACCTCTTGTGATAAAAGCACACGGTGCACAGTCTGAAATTGGATTGCTCATCTATATTGAACGATGGCTGTTGTTTGCCATGGCCAGGTCGCAGCTATGTTGCTTTGGGACAATCCGAGCACTGTAGAACAAAGCTGGAACATGATAAAGAACCAAATACTGAACCAAGTATTTAGTTGGGTGAGGCACAGGTCACCATTACTCTTTCATCACAGCATGTCTCTACACGCCCCCCCCTTATCAGCTGTATATGCATGTTATAGATAAGTGCAAGCACATGCAAAAGCTTATTTGGTGTTAGGACGGAGTCCTTCAGGTTCTTGGAAGGGTTCATATCCTAGCTACTGGTGGCAGCTGAAGAATATAGCACTCAAAGAAAAATCGTAACATATCGAATTAATTCTATTGCACTTTGAAACGGCGCCGATCAATCGCAACATCTATTTGGGCTCGCTATGTTGCAGTCCTTTCTTTTTCTTTCCTGTCTGCCGTGGACCGCAGCCACGGCACTGAGAGAGTCTGCACCACGGTGTACTGGATGAAGTTGTAGCCAGCGGACACCACGCCCGAAAAGATCACCTACATGCGAGGTGCACTGAGGATGAGCTGATCTGAAAAAAAGCGGTAGGAAGAGCTGATCATGCAGTTGGGTTGGGGTCATGATGGGTGTCACTTCTTTGAAACACGCTTCGGTCAAGAGGATCTTCTCATGGATGAGAAACCAGGAAGGGACAGGCCGACAGACGAATCTTTTTGAGCCTGAGAATCCTTCCACACTTGGGACGCTGGAGATCAAACAAGTTCTTAGACAGTGTTGTGTCGAACGAGAGACCTTGACACGTTGATCCACGTCTGGAACAAATCTGAAAGAACACACCACCCAATCACACTTAGACTCGGGTCGCTGCATCCCCCCCCTACGCCGTGGCAAAGCGAAATGGACCTCTGGGCTGGTTGGCTCCCAAAAATGCGTGCAACGAGCGCTCGCTCGCGTGTCGCACGCTCGCGAGCTTGCTCGCGGTGATGTTCGCCGGGGCACGAGGAAGATGGTGCCGGGGCTCAGCTGATGCACTCTCTGGTAGACCTGCATTACAGCCCCTACGACGGCACAACGGGGCCCGGTGGCCTTGCCAGTTCGATTTTAGCCAGGTCTGTGGGTCTGTACGGCCGGGACTGTGTGAAGCACCTACTTCCTCCCAAAGAGTTTCACCGTTCTTTTAAAGCCAAGTGGCAGGAAAAATGCCATCTTCCATGCTGTGTCGTACATTGCTTTCCCAAACGTCTTTGTGCCCACAAATGTTCGTGAGATACATACTCCTCCACCCAGTGCAGTGACTACAAAGATCACCCAAACCAGTTTAGGAAGGAAGCTTCGTTACTTCCGACCACACTGCAACCGACCGCGGAAGGACCGAGGCATCCGCATGCCGCATGCCTCTGTCGGTCTCTGTCTCTGTCGGCCTCTGTCTGTTTAACTGTGACCATTCACGGCAGAATTTGAACAACTGTGTCCAGCAAGCCACCATGGGCGCCTCTTGTGATTCAACTGTTGGGCCACCTAGGACAGTTGTGCTTCATTGTCAGGTCAAACCCAAAGAAGCATCTTCAAAGTGATGCCCCAAAATATAAATTCTATCATTTCGGTAGTGCAGCCCGTCTGAAAACATTAAACAACAACATATATACATCAATCAAATCAAACCTCTAAACTCTAAACCTTTCTCATGCTCCATCTTTCTTCTGCCCGAGTTCCACACCACTCCATACTCATCCTAGTCCGCACGCCTCCTCATCCCACCCAGGTGGAACACACCACAGGCAATGACTGGCCATTTATAGCAATTCATGATGACTCGTCGACGAGTCATCCTCGTCGTCTTTGGACCGTCCCTTTCGTTTCGACTCGTTTCGACTCGTTTCCCGCTCGTTTCGACCTGCCAGTCGGTGAGGGTCCCCGAATCCGGCCAGTTGATGGGATGCGAGGCGTACAACGAGGCCTGGAATCCGGCGAGTGGGGCCGAATGTGAGGGGAAGATGTGAGGGGAAAGAAGTGGTGTGAAAGACGTGGTGTCACCTTCTTGAGTTAGTGATTTAGATTGATTTAGTCTATTTTTGCATGTACTTCTTTTGGATTTCGTGTTCTTTTCTCTTTGGTGTTTCCGGCTCGTTTCCCGTAAAAAACGAGGCCGTGTTTTCTCCGATCCTTCGAGGCTTTGGTGGAGAAGCCGCCTGACTGGGCCATCCCACCCAAAGCAACAAACATCGAAGCTTGCTTGTGGAAGGGAGACAAATTAAGTTGGCACTGATGGTGTGATATCATGAGATATCCATCCCACCCACAGGTGCATAATTGCCTCCCTCCAAGTAAAGTTTATCACCCAGAGCTCTCCAACCACATCCACCGGCGAAATTTCACGTTCGAGCCACCGGCAGCAGCGCCAAAGCACAAGGCAAGGCTGTGTAAAAGACCCTTAGCACACTGACTGTCGGAGCCCCGCCCTTGAAGGTGCCTGAAGTGGGGTTTGGGAACAGAATCCCGCTCACAAGCAGTAGTCGCCAGGCCTGTGGAGCTTTGCTTAGGAGAACGCAAGAGAACGCTAACGCAAAGCAACCCTCCCAAAACAAGCACCGTGGGCATTTCATCTCAATTCCCATCTCGTCCGGAACCACCCACCGATGCCCCGCCATGTGGACGCCAGGGACAGCAACCCTCCCTGGTCCCTCGTCCGAGCGACGTGTCCAAGGGCGTGAGGGGTGGTTTCAAGGTACTGCTGAAGGCGGCTGCGAGGATGAGCGTGGTCGCAGCAGCGAGGTCACCCAAGCAACACATCAAAACACCTGAACTCTGTCGATCCGGACGACGCGGACGGATGTGACTTCGCGGGACTGGCCGAGGGTTCCCATCCGGATGTAAGGCATTCCAAAACCAACACGGGAGCAGACTGGAGCTCCACGCGGACGGACCTGCGGACCGCATGTCATGTCTTCTTCGGATCTACCCTCCACGCGTTTCCACCATGGAACCTGAGAATTGACCGGAAGACCATTTTCCTCTACAACATCTACAGCCCAGTGGTTTTGGGGTTCCATGTTAATCTGCATGGAGTACATCATCTTTGTTTTCTGATGACGGTCAACAGCCTCCGTTCCAAACACAAAGGCGGTGTATTTTTCCATGTTGGCCACCCATTCGAGGGCTCCAGTGTTCGGGTTGTCCGAAACAAGATGCCAAGACTCCGAGCCACAAATGCCCATGCTGTGAAGGCTCATTGCCTTCCTAGGTCCGACTGAGGGTTTGCGAACAAACCCGCACCAAGAGCCTCACCGCCATGCTGCTCAATTTTTTTTTAAGCTCGTGGCCACAAACGTGCCCTTACATCCTCGTTCTCGAAGTGGCCGCTACAAACCCTCATGAACCAACCTGTGCAACCAAAAATGGTCTTCAGGTGACCCCCAAAGGAACTTCCTTTACTTCAGTGGGGCCAAATATTGCCTTTGGACTTCTCTCCTGCCCATCAGCTGAATGCATTGTCGCTTTCACAGTTGGTGACGGGTTTCACTGGCCAGGGGCTGCATGGACGACAGCAGAACCAGGTGCAACAAAAATCGTGTGGACCCTCGCCACCTCCGAAACCATCCTTTTATGTCAAGTTCCTTGCGAGGTCTGTTTGAAGGTGTCCCTTTGAGGCATGTCTCTTGGGCACATTCATTCATAGCAAATGAAAAAGTACCATCGCTAGCATCATCTAGCTGGCTGCCCGCTGACCCAGCTGGATCCAATCAGTTGATTTCGCTGAGAAACCATTGCCCATATTGCCCTGTGACCTTTCTAAGAAACCACTCCCATTGAAAAATCAGGCCATGCTTAGAGCCTGACGCGCGTCTCACTCACCACACCCAGCGTCACTCTCCGCCAAGGCCGTCACGGCGGCTCCAGCCACACCCAGTGACATCAGGAGTGCCTCGGCGTACGAGGCCAATGGTGTGGAAAAAACAGACTGCTTCATGGGAAGCACAAGGAGTGCACAGGCAGCTCACAGCCAGTGTAGGGCTTTGTCGTTTCAAAGCTAGTTTGTTTAGCAAAAACATATCCGCCGTGATCCTTGCAGTGGTGCGTGGGTTGGCTTCTCTCTATCTATTTTCGGCCCAGAGTGGCCCGGAGGGTTATCCTCTGTACGGCGAAAGCACCGAGTGAGGCGACCTCTCGACGATCTGATCGGCACGACTTCTTTGGCTTACAAGATGCGACCCTCGTCCGGTGCCAGTTGACACCCAATGGGCGATTGGCGTGCCTGTCTGTGCTTTGCAGGTTGCAAAGGGGAACAAAACTGAGAATCCACCTACAGCGGTGCAGCATGCAAAAAGCAGCCCCTTCTATATTGATCTGTACACGGTACAGTAGGGCCTGCGGGCTTCACCAACTCCCTAGCTCCTTAGGCCTTAGGCCCTGCCTATGCGGTCGTACGAGGTCTGACGAAGCGTTCACCGTCAAAAGGCCCCCACACATTGGTCTTGCGCTTGTCCTGAATCTCTAAGCGGTAGGGGTTTCCCTCATCCCAGAGCTTGATCACCTTGGCAGGCTCCCAACCATTGGGACCCCTGGCTTCAACTATCTCACCAACATTGAAGCGGAGGCTCCCCTCTGCAGCGCAAGCCAGAAATTCTTCCTTCAACCGCTGGCCATGCTTCTGCTTGATGTGCTTCCCGATGAAGACGAAGCGGCACTCGCGCTGCTCCCCCGGCGCCCATTCGCCCTCCTTGGATGAGGTGAAACCACCGCTGAAGAGCATGTGGACGCCCTGGAACACGTACTTCTGAGCACATCCCTTCACTGCCAGTACCCCCTTGTATCTGAAGAGATCAGTACCCATCTCACGGAGGAGGACACCGATCCATTGATCCAAGAAGTTCACATTCAACTCAAGCCCGGGGACTGACCAAGCTACACTGGAGATGGAGTCATCATGCACATGATCATCAGGACTTGCCTTCAAGAACTCTGGGTCCATGGTCAGTACTCGATCCAAATCAAAGGCATTCAGCATCAGCAATTGCTTGGGATCCACTTTGGAGAACTCGGCTCGGATGATGGGAGCCCCTGCATTGATGCTCCGGATCCTGGCCTCCAACTTGCTTAGCGCCTCCTCCTTTTCTTCAGCCTGAACTACCGAGCTTCCACCAACCGGCTGAGAAGCTTGCACATCTTGACATTGCTGCCTCTCACCCACCTCGGTCCTCGCAGTGCCCCCCACCAGATCGCACTTGTTCAGGATGATGCGATCAGCAAAGGCTAGTTGTTCCACCGACTCGTTCTCTGCGCCCTCCGGCTTCTCCTCATCCAAGTGCTGCTCGATGTGGGCGGCATCCACCATGGTGACGATGCCATCCAAACGGTACTTGGCCTGGATCTCCTCATCCACGAAAAAGGTCTGGGCCACTGGTGCCGGATCCGCCATACCAGTGGTCTCGATGAGCACCGCGTCGAACTGCTTCACCTTCCCGTGCATGCGTTTCAGGGCGCTCACCAGATCGCTGCGCACCGTGCAACAAATGCATCCATTCATCACTTCAATCACCTGGCCGTGGTTCAAAGCTTGGGATGGGAGGTGTTTCTGCCCCGGTTCACCTCGCTGAAACGGACACGTCTTACGGTGTTACTACTATTTTTGCCTCACCTTAATAGAGCCACGCCTCCTCTTCTGAACTGGTCTTGTTGGCAATGAGCTTCTCATCCACGCCCACCTCCCCGAACTCATTCTCAATAATCGCGAAGCGGAGGCCGTGGCTGGCATCCGCGAGGATGTGGTTTAAAAGTGTGGTCTTTCCAGATCCCAGGAATCCAGTGAGAACCGTCACCGGTACTCGCGAGTCCGACATGGCGTGCGAAGAGCAGGGCCAGTCGAGGGGGTGTTCAGCTGCAGTGCCAAGAATGTCAAGAACTGGATCTTCTGTATTTGTCAATTGGCTCTTGTGTTTCCAAGTATCTAAAAACATCTAAACACTTTTTGTCAGTTCAGGGCTTTGTGCCAAATGGCTCGAGCAAGGTGAAAAGAAATTGATTGGTGCCACATGAATCCCAAACTTGGTGACCCATGCGAGAACTGTGTTGAGTTGGACATTGTTTATCGATTCTGTGCTTTAGCAAGCGCTCTCATCTTGAATTTGCTTCAGGAATGGGCAAACACATATTACCCAGAAAATTTACCGGGAAAATACACATCCTAATCGCAGGTCATTCAAGACATGTGCCTTCATGTGTCTATCGCAGCTAGTAACAAGAAGCTACTAGGTGGAGGCCATCGCTTTTAGGTTGCAGGCCATTACTACTAGTAACAAGAAGCTAGTAGCTATCTGCTACTATGATCTACTAGTAACACGTGTCAACTACAGTGCGCTTCGTCACCGCGACTGACTTGCCCAGGCGGCCCAGGCGCATCGCTGAACGTGGCCTCTCGACAACCCTCCAGCAAGCGCAAGCGGCACCTCAAGAGCTGGGGAGTGGCCTTCAAGGCCCTTAGCATATGCAAATAAAACATGTTTGCTACAAATAGGTGTACCAAAACGCCACGAAGCCGGGGTATTGAAACTTATATAGTTCTCCTGCTGCCAGATCGAGCGAACATCTGCAAGGTGTTGCCATTTCATGACAGGGCGTGGAGAAATGGGTCGTTGAGCTTAAAGCTCCTCTGCTCCATGAGTTCATGGAGAAGGTGAATGGTGTTCTGCCCAAGTAGGCAACTCCGCTTGTCGGAGATCTCGGTGTCAAGTGTCAACGTTCTTTGTCAAAGCCTTCTACCTATCTGGTGCCACTGTTCTGCAGCAAATTCTGCATCCATTCCGCCCATCCGTCTGGCTAAAGGTTGTATTCTGCATCCAATTACCGTCGACGTTTTACGACCTCGGACCTCGACCAGCACTTCGCAGCCCGAGATGCGCCAGCTGCTGGAGTAGCAAAGTCACTAAAGGTATACAGGAGCGAATCACCATATTCCTGGGAGGCGCTGAGGCGCTGAGCGGAGCGACTCGGTGGCTTCAGTCTGCCTGGAGTACCATGATCCGGTCAACGCCGCCATTGACGGGATCTCTGCATATTCTGGGTGCAGAAGAGCACGTTCAAGCTATCAAGCAGTCGAACACTATGACAGGTACAGGGTTTTATCTCAAACTGACTTGCCCTTGCTGATCAAGGTTACAAGTTATAAGAGTTATAAGTCAAACCTTGTGAAGAATCGCTGGCATGCCTCCGACTCACTCACATGTATGTGGACCAAAAACTATGACTTTGACCAACCTTTCCAAGGAACCCTCATTATCATATCGATCATATGTCATCACTAGTGTTGCATTCAACGCCATACCTGGGTTTGACCTGCAAGTAGACCTTGGTCGTCGTTCACAACTCCTGTTTCGATTCTTTGAGTGTGATAGGTTCTCCCTCTGTGAAGTTCACCACGCAGTTTTGAGACTTTGCCTTTGAGCTGGCAGCCATTTCGGAAAAGGACAAGACAGAACACGCGCTACATTCACAGCTACCAAGAAGCGGAACGCTCAACAAGGACACACAAATTTCAATTGCAAAAACAACACATGCCAGGATTGGTCTAGATCTGCTGTCTGGTGTCAAGCAGGGACTGAGTTACTGTCACCACGCAAAAAAAACGGATCCCCTCAATTCCTCAATCCCTGCACCAAACTTGCCAAAACTTCCGTCCCTGTCTTCCCATGGACCGCAGGCCAGGCATCAAAGAGACCTGGCATCCGCACCCGCAGAACCGAGAAAAGCAAGAAACACACTCCTTAAACATCCTCAAGCCCTGAAGCGGAAGATTGTTTTTTTTTTTTTTAAATCACCCCGATTGAGCTCAGAAATGGCACAGAATACATCATTTTGATCATGCAAATGTCTTTTGTCGATTCAGCCGGGAGGAAAGCATGGTATCCACTATCCGAGTAGTCTGTGGCAGTCTTGGGTACCCTCTCCATCCGTTTTCCACGTGACTGTCTGGGTCAAGTCCAGTTTGACCTGCATGCATCTAAACCCCTCTGTGCAAAAACAATGCGTGCTGGTCCAGAACCCCCCCGGTTTTGAGTTCAGCGGTGAGTCACTAAGGTTCTAGAGCAA